ACCGACCTCCCTAAAATTTTCAATTTTGGCGTTTTTCGGTTTTTGTACTCATCTGAAAGCTGGAATTCTGCTCTTTCCAATGGTACCACTGCCATCGCTGTACGCCAATATTTACGTTAATGACGTCTCTTTAAAGGGAAGCGGGTGGGAGAGTTCTTTAAGAAATTAGATATAAAGTAATTAGCTGCTAAAATCTTTGAATATAGTTTCTACTTGAGTTGTGTTGCAGTTACATGCTTAGTCTCATGGGAGGGGTGAAAAATGAGAAAAAAATGGGAAAAATAAAAAAAAACGCAATAAAAAAACTAGATGGAAAATGAAAAAAGTGATGTTAGAGTCGATAGATATGGTCTTTACGAATCGAATGATTGTAAGAAATTTTAGTTTCCCACATAATAGGTCAAGTAAAGATTTTAATTAAGCTACGCAGAGTTTATTCAAGGTTTCGTTTTAGTTTTCATTCTTCATCAATCTTCGTTAGTAACGAGGTAATCCAAGTGCGAGATTAAGTTTTGGTTGGTAGGAATAGAACAGGAGGCGAAACCCAAGTCTTCCTTCAAGTAACTTCTCGCATCAAAAGGAACGAAATCGACTGGACCGGCTGCAGACGTAGCAATGGGCGTGGGTGTACTTTATACTGTACAAGAGAGAATAATATTGTTAGAATAGTCGCATCTTAAAACTGGCGTCAGAAAGTTATATATAATTTGGAAATACATCATTATTTATCAATTACTGCAAGAAATTGGCACACACCTAAATCTTATTGAGAGTTAGTGTGTAACCGTGGTTACAGCTGTCAGGCTAAGAAATGAAATCCTATCAAAGAGGAGGGTAAAGTAGGAGGAAGGCTCACCAGTAAGGACAGGCAGGACAGTAATAGGTTCAAATGCTCAGGAAAAGGTGAGAAGAAGGAAACCCTAAACCTCCATCTACCTATATTAGCCCTTGAACTTATGATCTAAGTAAAGTTTAATCCACCTTTAGCGTCCCAATGGAGGTTAACCCCAACGTAAACTATGGTGAGCCTCAGTTTAATCCTACCTAGTTATAATACGATAAATAAATATTAAGTAAATCCTGCTAGTTCCATATTCACACAAAATTATAAGACAGTAGAAATAAAGACTTAGCAAGGATTAGGAGCCTGAGGTTTCACGAAGATATTTGGCCAGGTATCGGTAGTCAGGCTGGTACGGGAGATGTTGCTGCCACGGCTGCCGGTTCAAATCTAAATGAAATTATAGGTGCGCCGCCTCGTCACCTGGCAGCAAGTGAAGAAGGAGATGCGCAAAAGAGTGGTAATTTCTTACATGATACGTGTCTCGATGTTGTGGGATGATATTTGTGGGAGGAGATAGATTTTCTGAAGTACCCCTTTTTTAGCTTTTTAGCCGTTTTCTATGAATTTCACGTTTTCTATCAATTTTTTCAAAAAATTCATAGGAGCAAAATGTTTTTTTTTACATTTTACGTATGTATGTGAAGTTTCATGACAATCGGATAATAACTGTAGAAGTTTTCGTATGTGGAGGTCGGTCCCCTTAATGGTATACAAATATTGTGGTAGATACATTGTCCAAGAGTTTTGATGCAAATATTTTTATTTAAAGGATAATAAATCGATTTACAATTGTTTAATCCCTCTTATAGATATAAATAAACATCATTCGATTTATTTTAAAAGCATTTCATAAATGAGCATTAAAATATTTCCTATGAATAAACCAAGTCTAAATAATAAAATAATGTTTGAATTTTAGATTTATACAAAAAATATTTCAAACCTCTATCAGAAACAACATAATTAATCATTCTCTAGCACTAAATATACGAATGATAGTCGATTAGTTGGACTCCAATACCATCAACAATGATCATCCCACTAGATTATGCACTGAGAGGCGGGAATGACATGAATTGAACATGACTGGCAACTGAATTTAATTCAGTTGCACACTGGCTCTTGTGATATGTAGTTCTGCTTGTCTGAACTCTGAATTGCGTGTTTAGTGTGCATGATGGAAAACTGCTTTGCAGCGTAGTTGTAATTACTTAATGAAGTTTAGTTCATTGCGGTCAACTTAAGAGACAAATTTTCAACTAACTAATACTTTTTATGAGTCTAATTTTAATTGTTGAGTGGAAGGTGCAGGCATGCAACATCCAAGTGAATACTTTATAGAAAGTGAGCAAGTAAACGTACATGTTTTAAGCCTTCAAGTTCATTTTTTTTTGCTTCAAATAACGTTGTTGGGTTGAAAAAGTGGTCTTGGTGGATTGAAATAATATATGAACCTTCAAAATTAGAATTCCATCCTGAATTGAGTAGCCTTTTAAGTTAGTTGCATTGACAAAAGCTTAATAGGGTAAACACACCATATTCTGACACATTAAGGATGTAGCAAGAAATAAATGGCTGTAAATAGATCACTGTATGCGCAACTGTTCTGATTGGTTTACGTCACTCTCAAAACACCACACAATACGCCAGCAATGATGAAACATCACAAACTGTTGCCATATTTATTTAAAAGCCTTTAGAATTACAATCTACTAAATTGCTGAATTCAGACACTGTGTGTGACTAAATGAGGCATATTGTGAGACTAATTCCGACCGCTACAAAATCGTAATTCATAATTCCGACACCCTGTGTCGGAAAACGACATCCTGTGTGTCATCCTGTGTGTCGTAATTCCAACACCCTACGTTGGAATAAGTTTTTTTATGTGTCTAAAACCGTCTCTTAAATCAGTCATCTATTAATTTATTTACCACTTAAAATCAGCAAATACAAGTACCGTAGATGGTTGAAATAGTGACGTCATACTATTGCGCGCAAGATTTCCATAAATTACTAGGTCTAGCAGGAAAATGTTAAGATCTGCAGAGCAAAAGTCCAAGTCAGTTAGTGAGAACACTGAAACGCGTATGAAAGTTGATAGTTGACCTTGCTTTACTAAATAGTGATAAACTGTTTGTGTAGAAAGAATATTATGGTTTGAGACTGTTAAATAAGTCTGTGAATATATTAGGAATCCTTTAAGTATACCGTACGCATGCGTGGAACTAAGACCAAGCTTCATATGAAGGAAAAAGTTGAGGGGTGTCAGTCTGTCAGAATTAGGGTAAACGCGGTATATTCCGACATCGTAGGTAATTCCGTCACTTCTCTAGTTTTTCCTTTATATTAAGCTTTGTTGAAGGCAACAGAACTTACGTAACGCATACGTTTTTTTTTATAGTTTTTCATTTCTCGATGCGTCCTTAATGTGTCGGAATATACCGCGTTTACCCTACAATTACCCAGTGTTGGAATAGGTATGGAGCATTTCTCCTCTCCACGGTCCACCTAGTTCACAGCTAACTTACCTTTATATTTGATAAAATATCAATATACCTAGGCTAATCCTAATGAAGGTTATTGTTACAGTATATAAAAACTTATTCACTAAGGTGATCAAAAATTAAATGTTTGGCCAAATTGTATGCCAAATATAGTTTTCTATAGTATAGAAAAATAGATTGAAGGCCAAAATAATTTTTTTCATGACTGCATACCTACTAATTGGGAAATTTGTGGCTCCAATTTTTTCAATTGGATATGACAGAATAGGCTCAATTCAAATTTCAATGCAGTGACCAAAGTCACCAAACTCTCCATTACTAAGACTCCATAGGCTATCATATTCAAAATTCAATTATTATTCATACCTAGCTATTGAACAAGTTTCTACTTATCACTTAATAACACTTTAACCGCATCTCCGAGAATCGCCATTATGCCCCGTCTGCATCTCGTTTAAACTACAATTGCTTCAGTCACCATTGAGCCAGGAAGACGAGAGGTTGTATGTCGCTCTATGAACGTGAGTACAAACATTTGGTGTTATAAAATCCGTGGGACAAATGTGGTACATGATGTGGACAGTAAAAGCTGTGTTCATTTTGTGCATCGTGCGCTACATGTGGTCACGATCCCCGTGCACCAATAGAGGTGCACGATGTGGAGAGTAATTGTAACTACTATCTGTAGCAACGTGCGCCATATGTGACCACGACCACTGCATGTTATTTGTAAAATTTCTCGTGAGATCCTTCAAGTATTCATCATATATTGTTGATTATTGGATACACTTAGTGTTTGCTATATAATGAATTATGTAATATCCTCATTTCAGGCCCATGGATCCATCTCGATTTTACCGGAAAGGCGGAGGTTCTGAAAACGCTGAACATGATGCTGATGAAAATGGAGCAGATAGTCCTGATTCGGGAGATTCTGCTGATTCTTCCTCTGATACCTGCAATGATTTTTCACCAACTTATGATCTAAGTGAATCAGAAAGTAGTTCTGATAACGATTCAAGTAATAATGACGTTTCAGATGATGATGCCTGCAGCTCAGCATGTGATGACAACGCAGGCAATGAATGGAATTCAACCGTAGCTTCAGCGAGATCATTCTCCTTCACAGGAAATGAACAACTATTAGTACAACCTGTACCTTCTGAAGCAGATGGAACTGTTTCACCTATTGATGCCTTCAAATTGTTTGTAACTGACGATGTTATANATTATCGTCATCATTATCCTTTACTTATAACACCTAAAATGTGATTAAGGAGGTTAATATTGAAGTTTAATCAATTATTATAAATTTAAGGGTGTGCACCATATGTGGGTCACGATGCAGGTTGAGACAGACACGCGTGACCCACATATGGGTCACGATGCGGTTAAAGTGTTAAAGAAAAAGAGGAATTTGGAGCAACATCTGCTTTATTAACAATAAAAATAATATAACATATAAGTTACTTAAAACTAAAGTGCTGAAACAAACTAAGAGTAGAATTCAACACAAAAAAAAATTAAAAATATGAAGCTAGAATAATACCTAGAATAATACAACAATAATTTAGCTAGGTATCAAGTAAATTAAAATACATTTAGTTTCTGAAATTTTCCTTAAAATCACATTAATCTAATTCACTTACTTCACCCATTTTTGAAATCCAGCTTTTTCGGGCAATGATTTAACTGCCATTGCTTTCAAAGATCACAGTTCAAAACTATACTATCATGCTGTCAGTATTGAAACACCGCTTTACTGTTTACAAACCGCCATAACACGAGCGAGGTTCGGAGCGTCGTGTGATGTTGCAATTTCACGGACTAACCCCCTAAAAATACAAACAAGATCATGCGAATTTTTCATTATATATTTTCAATACAGAATATAATGCAGGTAATGAGAATAAAAAATGAGTGTTATGTGCAATTTTTACAGTCCTAAAAATGCATGTATTCTGGAAATTTCCATAATTTGGATTTGACGAATTGGTTTGCGTAAAGTACGAAAAGGCCTTTACTGATATAGGTAAGTAACGTGAATATGATGATCAAATAAATTTATAATTAGTCGATATACTTTGTAAATTAAATAGTATTCACAAAAAGGACTATAAAATTAGCTACATATTGATTATTCCTACTGACAATTTATCAATTATTACGGATTTATAATCAGTCAGAGAAACTACGACAGTTCCAAATGGGGCAAAGGGAATTGAAGCAAGAAATTCCAAAACTACCTTGATGGGAAAAATTGATAGCTTAACTACAGGAAAGAGTTCTTAAAATCATTATATTGCTGAACACTAATACGAAATGATTTTTTTTTTTTCATTTCAGGGTAGGACTCTTTCTAATAACATTTGTTATGCTAATTGTCGTATTGTTGTCTCCGCAAGGAGGCTAGGAATTGTGTTTTCCCAGTAATTTCATGCACTTCTGAGAATAAAGGACATTTGGTATATTGATTGATTTGTAAAACTTAAAAAACCATAATTCCGTAGACGCGACTCATTTGGAGGCATTCTTCAGCCAAAACTTCATAACCCTAACAATTTATCTCCAAAAATTTTAAGAGCGAATAAACTAATTATTAAATTCCTAATATCTTCATCGAAAACATTTTCGATGGGTAAAAATTTTCTTCTGCTGATAAACCACCCAAGCGGAATTTAACACTGCAGCCCAAAAAGATCCAACTACACATCAAGTAGCAGAATATTGCTGACGATATCGAAACGGTGAGGAAAAAATATCGTCATAATAAGATTTATCAACAAGTCATAATGAGTTATTTGTCAAATAACTCGTATTTATAAACACTAACAAATAATTCCAAAAAATTAAGTCATTCAGGATCGAGTTTCGATGTAAATGAAACAAATTACAAACAAAACAAACCACTCTGGAAATTTTACTAAGAGTAATGCCCTGGAATTGTCAACACATCGCATTCATCAGGAGCTTCCAAAGAGTTGATAAGATTTTCCAATTGCCACCAAAAAATAAAGAGAAGCCGCTATTAATCTGAATCTTGCACTACATGTGATTCTATGTACAATACGAGTAATGCGGCAAGTCTAACACGAACAGCATAAGGTCGCTGTTAACTACATTTATCGACGCGATGTCTTGAGTCAGTGCAAACTAGGCTTTGAGATTATGCTGAAAAAAAAATGCTTAACCATCACACTTGAATATCAATCTGTACAAGTTAATTGAAAAACTGAAATAATGAATTTTCAAATATTTGAAATCAAAGTACACATAATAACCGAAACATTAAAAATATAATGTGAAAAAGGCTCAAAAATTGGCAAGCACTCACGACTAAACGTATAATGCAAGAAAATTTAAATATACATACTTCTGTATTGATGTTCATCTCAAATCATGAGAGCATTGATTGATTTTCAAATTAAAATCTAAATAAGTTTATTAATAATGAAAACTAGAAAAGTACAACTGAGAACTTTTGACCTCACGTATCTTGAGCTATACTTGACTGTTCTTGACGAATGCAACATAGAAACTCTGGGGGGAAAATGTTAAGCCCTAAATTACAACCAGGAGACCTCAAGTGCACTACCTCGGAAATTTTCTATAACAACAGACATAACTAACACCAATAAACCAATCAGCCTCTTATAGCATAAGGATCTCTGAAAAGAAATAGCAATATAGATTTCTGTAGATTAGAAACGTTCAAGCAAGTTTTCACAAGCCAGGAAAACACCAAGGACAGTTTTTACAAGCTAGGGAGAGTATTTTCAGCAAGTGAACAAGAGAGGCCTTTGCCATCAGGCTCGACATTGAGCTGCGTAATTTTGCCGTCCTGCACGAGCATAGAGTAGCGCTTGGACCGAACACCTCCCAGCACTGCCAGGTCCTGGTCAAGCCCCAGGGCCTTGGTGAACTCGGCGCTGGGGTCAGCGAGCATACGAACCTGAGCAGCAAGCACAGATGTTGTCAAGTGAGAAAATAATAATGTCAGATTTTGGTCACTGCATTTGGTTTCATCTAGGTTGTTGTTCGAAAATGCTTACATTATGTATTAATTAAGTCATTTAAATGTCACATTTTTTAAAAAATCGTGAAATATATAGTACGGTACGTCCTTTTACTTGCAAGGGCCAAAGAGTTGGTGTGTCATGACCAATTACTCGAGATAATTACATGAAATTTGTCACATTAAAAAAGAAAAATTATGATAAAAAATACTTTGAGTAAGAGAAAGAGTGAATCAGAATTTAAAATTTGTTTTAATAAATAATATATATATCTCGAGTTTATTGTCAGGCGAAAAGAAAAAGAAAGCAAAACAAAGCCCTAAATAGGACGTAAATCACCTTGTTGTCAGCTCCTTGAGCCTTGCCCCACGCAGCCATAACAAAAGGATCATTGACGCCGACACACACAATCTCCTTCACACCTTTAGCTTTGATGGCATCACTCTCCTTGATGTAGCCGGGTAAGTGAGTCTGCAGAATTCAACGGTACCATTAGCAACACAGATTATTATTTTTGAAGTTTGCTTACAGAACAACTCGAGTAAACTTTCTAGACAGATCGCATATTCAAAGATTATTTGATAAATAAATGATTACTCAAAATAAAGATTAGACAAATACAACTTCACCAGCACCAACCCAAAAGATATTAATAAATAAATAAATTATCAAATAATTTCTTCTAGCTTGGTTCAATTATATAAGTAGAGAGGCAACTCAAAATATCAACCTACTCTGTGTTGTAAATGATGATACGAGGACTCTTAGATATTGACTGAAATAAATTTTAGGATCCCAAAAATCTCCAATTGATTTACTCAAATCATGCAGCTTCATATATTGCAGTGGTTAGGGAAAATGCATTAAGAGTACAATGCACCATTTTAATTTACAGTCAGGTTTAGTTATAAATGAAACTGACTACTTGCTCGTGACCAAGGCCAAGAAGTCAAGCAATTGAATAGAAACTGGTGAGTGGTGCCTGCATTGTCAAGTAAGTTCAAGTGAAAACATTTGCCAAAGCTCAAGGCAGGTTGTCAAGAGTTGGAGAAGGAAACATGCACCAAGGTGTCTCATCAATGATTGCAAAATTCCATAATTAATTGCAACTAGTCATTTATATACATCTTACAAATTATATTTCAATTTTACTATGTCAAGTTAGGCAAATAACCCCATAAACTGCAGTTTCAGTAAACAACTAGCAACAAAACAGGATATGAAATATTGGGCAGTTCAGCAAATTATGACTTATGAGCATTCATTAGTGAACGTATGGAGATAATAAACATCAATAAACAACATTTAGAGTAACATAGGATAGTAAGGATACTAACAAGGGAACATCCTGGAGTGAAGGCTCCAGGAACAGCAAATATTAGCACTTTTCCAGAGGCACAGAGAGTGCCGGTGTTGACGGACTTGGCCGGAGTGTCCTCAAACAAGTCAACTGCTGGCAACACATCTCCAACCTGAAATCAAATATTATTACATTATTGTCAATAAATAATGTACAAATTAGCAATGATAAAAATTGTAACAGGAAAACACATTCCAATCAAAACACTTTAGTACAACAAGAAATTGGTTAGGTACAAGTGCAGAACTTATGATGCAAAGCTAACTCTTTTTCCATTTATATACATCCCTATCTGCAACATTACAAGTAGAAAAATGTCTGACATCCACAATAATTCACACTTTACAAGCAAAAGATATATCTATCAGAAGTTTTTTGATAATAAAATTATATCTATACAATGTTATTCAAAGAAAAGTGCTCACTCAGTAGTCAGTGCTTGATATGAGGTTGATAGGTAGCAAAAATTTTAGTGTGGCTTTCTCACAAATATGGCAAATGCAAATATATTATAAAAAAAATAAATGAGAAGTCCAAACTCGAACTTGCAGAAAGGAATGTGCTTGTATCATATTGGATATGGTAACCTAAATCTTCATTCTCCTTTCACACTTAGCTCAGATTCAAGAATAAAACAAGTTACCAGGCTGAAATTATTTTGAATAAATGAAAAACTATTCCTAGAATTCCACCCTGCAAGTTGAGGGTTGAGTTCCCAACTTCCCAGTGATGTTGCTAACATCATTAGTGAAGATCAAATGGGCCCATCATGCCAATGGCTAGTCCTAGTTTGACTTTGCATACATAGTTAAATTCACACAGAATTTTCTTTAGTTTTTCTGCAATGTTCTAATTTGATTATGTACATTATACTACTGTACATAGTCAAAATAGAAAGTTTATAAAAGATAAAAGGCTGGCAACTTGAAGATCAAGGTGATAATTCAATCACTCAAATAGTAAATTATCTCAGATTGTGATCAACTAAATATGAAGATCCCAATTATGAAACATATCAATAACTATCTTGAAAATACTGCAAAGTGCAAATAGGCTACTATGCTATGGGTTGTGGCCCTTGTGCAAAGGATATGGATCCTATGAACCATATTTTAGGTTACCTATGAAATGTTTTCAGCTGATAGATACCATTAAATGGCAATGGGGTAATACCTAACATAATAAGGGACAATTTTGAGCATTTTTTCTAATAACTTCTTACAATGAAACATTTCATAAACAATTTTGGGCTAATTTCAAAGCCTCAAAGGTTTTTGCAAGATCTATGCAATTGCATCTACAATTTTAGAAAAAAATGCATCAGGCTGCCAGGGAGGCTCCAGGCTCACAAAAACATGTGTCTTTTGAAAAAAAAGACACATGAAAAAAAAGACACTAGGCCTAGGCGGCTTAGCTGCGGCTAAACCTAGCCTACGAAAAAAACATGAGCCACAAATCACAATAGAATAGGTACTTTAAAATGCTTTAGGGTTGGGTACCCGTACACCGTACAGATGTTTAGATGAATATGAATCAGCTAACAAGCCAACCAAATATTAAACTTTCCACTTAGCACTCAGGCTCTCAGCGTCAGCAGATACCTAATTCATTTTACCATTTAGGTAGGTACTTCACCGTTTGTTAGTGAGACTGTGACTCAGTCAATAAACAGTCATCAGTCATCACTCAAAACAGCAAAGGTACTTAGAAGCATACCTATATTGCTATAATAGCTAACTTAATAATCATAATGGTCATTGGTCAAGACTCAAGAGTCAAGACTAGGTCTATTACCGTCTATATTTGTACGGTTGTCGCCTGTCGGGTTGTGTGACTTGTGTCTATTGTTATCACATAACATAAAGAATAAAGCTGTTTAGCACTCGATAAGGAAGAAAGTTTTGGTTCAGTTTTGTTTACATAATAATAGATTGTTTCTATTGTATTGGATTTGACGGCCGGCTAGGCTACTTGAGAGTTGAGCCTGAACTTCTGAAGGTGCAGGTTGCTGTGGCGACGATATTGACATTGAGCGATAGACCCATATCTATAGCCAAGCCCTTTTAAAATAATTTGAAATGACTCACCTTCGCCGACATTAAGCGAGATATAATTGGCGCTTTACTATTCGTAATTACGAGCCGAGAGGCACCAGTTAACACCTTGCTCAGCGATAGCACAGACATTCTGCTACAACCTACAAGTATGAAGCTACGGTAAGGCTCGAATGCGTTATGTGAACAAGAGCGTTGAATGAACCGATTCGACACTTCAGCGAACTCGCCTGCGAACTCGCCTGCGAGCTCGAATGCAAAACCTAACTTCTTTTTCAACTGTGGCACGCATAACTCCTTCAATTATGAACGGATTTTATTCAAATTTGGAATATAAGTAGATAATATCAGTATTTTGCGGGGGGAATTTTTTCAGATTTTTACATAAATAACTTTTTTGTTAATACGGAAAACCTAACTTCATTTTCAACTGTGGCACTCATAACTCCTTCAATTATGAACGGATTTTATTCAAATTTGAAGTATAAGTACATAATATCAGTATTTTGCGGGGGGAATTTTTTCAGATATTTACATCAATAACTTTTTTGTTAATACGGAAAACCTAACTTCATTTTCACTTCATTTTCAACTGTGGCACTCATAACTCCTTCAATTATGAACGGATTTTATTCAAATTTGAAAGATAAGTAGATAATATCAGTATTTTGCGGGGGGAATTTTTTCAGATTTTTACATCATGTCTTCAACAGTTCCTTTTGAATATTTGCATCATGTATGCCTAAAACAATTCTATCTTTCAGCAGTGACGTTTTGCAGTTGTCGCAGTAGTTGCACGTCTTAATCAATCTTTGAAGTTCGGCGTAGAAAAGTTCGAAGCATTCTCCTTCTTCTTGGTTTCTTCTGTTGAACATGAAACGTTCGTAGGTTTCGTTAGCTTCTCCGATGATGAAGTTGTCGAACGCCACCGCTGCCACCATGTTACGTTTGCTAGTCGTATGACTAAGTCCAGGCTAGCTATAAGGATGAAGATGAGCAGAGACGAGACCATAGGTTTAGGGAACTGTATTTGGTGGAATCTGGTATACAACTGAATTATTAGAAGGCTTGCTGGCCTTACATGACCTACTATTGACAGCATAGTAGTTCTACTCTAATTTGTTCAATACGTAAACACGTAACAAGTTGGGTACCGAAAAAATTCTATTAGACCGGTAGTTGACTTCAAAATGAAAACGGACACGTGACGTTTCTGTGATACGGTGTTGGGAGACCGGTCAGAAAAAGTACATCGAAATCATCATCTGCCAAGTACATCATCTGCTTACTCTCTATGCTCCATCATGCCAGAACTAGACACTAACTTTTTTGCAACCCAGCCGCCCCCGAATTTTGCTAACATTACAAAGTTAGTATAGTCTCGGAGAGACGAACAGGTCTCTGAGAAAGGCCTCAAGCGTCTAACTTGTCAAGTCAAGTCAAGAAATCACGCGTTTCCGGAAGCCGTTCTGAAATAACACCAACTTCCAACGGTACTACGGTAGTCCAAACATTAAGTAAATAGATTACCGCCAGAAAAGGGGTTGGGAGTCTTCAAGTTCTCAACATTTTTTGAAAAGCGATACTGGCATTGACTGGACGCTATCTCTGCAAAATGAAACGATATTCCAACGATCCAGAAACGCCACTTCCATCATTTAGTTTTTAGTACTTATTTCTGTACAAATTTACCATTCATTTATTTACAACAAATAAATTGCTCCTGAAAATTTCCACTCAAATGAAATTCAACTATTCATTGCAGCATAGACAAGCAGGAAGTTTATTTACGATAATTCAGTTTTTAGCATTCATCCAAGAAGCGGGAATTCACTACTAGTTCTATCGATGAACCAACGGTCTTCAGTGAACTGGGAAGTTATAAATCCAGAATTGTGGAAGCTCGTTGCAATTCAGCCACTTGATATAAAATTCAGCCACTTTGAAACTAAATCTATCAAGCTTTTCGTTCTGCTGTTCAAAATAGCAATTTATATCATCACAACGGTAGGAGAAAGAATGCTAGAAATTCAACAAGACTTTAATAAGGATAAGTATGCATCTCTCATTTTGCATTAATTTTTGAACACGTAAATTACAGCAATGCAGTCCTTCGGATGGTTGGATAAATCTTCGGGCACCAGTCACTCCAAAAGCAGCAGAGCGCGGAAATCCGTGAAGATTGACCAGCCTCTACCTCCAAAATTGCTTGCAGCACGAACGTTTCATGCATTTGCCTGTGTGGGGAAAAATACTACGAATGTGGTCCTTTCTAACCAAAGAATAAATATGACGTCTCTGAATTCAAAAGTACTTACATCAAGTTTTACGAGGTTTACAAATGACGAAATTGCCCGATATTATTAAATCTAGACAAAAGAAAGCCATTTCGTTAGGCTAAAGCGAAGAACGAGCACTATACGCAATAATATGAAGGAAAGGTACAAGTTTTTCGAGTAAAATCAAGAGCATTTTGAAACTAATAGCTAATATAATATTTGTACCCACTGCATGAAATGGTGCGCTCTCTAGAAGGCTCCAGGATTATAGTGGGGTCTTAATCTAGCCTCCCTTGAGGTGAGAAACGTGATAAGTTTCAATACAATACAAAGGAGGCTTACTCTGAACAGGGCAAATTAACAAAATATTGCCGAACCAATACCTCCATCATGGGTTTCCAGTTCAGCGCATCAATCCCCTTCCTGCGCGTAGCATTGCGCTTTCTCTGCAGCATGCCAGTTCGTCATCTGCAAAAAAAAAAAAAAATTTCAGAAGCTCGTTCGTGGTAAACACGGCAAATTTATTAGACCAGCATGGTCAGGCTCATTAAATCAGTAAACCGTCATGGTATATCAGGGTATTTTTCTCATCATCGAAGGTCTTGTACGAAATAATTGTGGTATTGCTCAAACTTTTTCTAGATCTATAGATTGTGGTATTGATCAAATCTTTTCTAGGTCTATAGATCATAATTTTTTCCAACAATTAAAGGAGACAATACATTATCAAGTTTAAACTCGCCTGCCTACAAGTCTCTGAAGCCGCAGACAGATGTTAGGACTCGCGCAGTCCCCAGCTGCGCCGGAGAATCGCCCACAACCGCCCGTTCTCATCACTTAGATATCTCGAGAGAGCGGAACTTAGGGGGCAACCTGCGCACGATGCTGTCGTCGCGATTACTTCTGATGGCAGTGTCAGAAGAGCATAACTGGGCTCATGAATACAGTGACCTGTTGAAGGCATATCTCGTTATTTATTGTGCCAAGAAATGAGCGTAACGGAAATAACGTTTCGTTGTTCAGCAAGAAGTATTCATTCATGAATATTCAGCTCTGGTAAGCAAATATTAAATCATCAGGTTTAGAATATAACAATTCAGACATTATGGCCACCGTAATCTCAAACTATTGACTAGTACGGGAGGTGAAATCAAACCTGACGGAATTAAAGGCGACCACAGAGGTAGAGAAAATATTTTTTTAGTGATAATATTCTGGTATAATCTAGATAGAACGCTTCATATCAACTTTTGCACAAAATATAGATTAGTTGATGCTTTATCACCTGTGACGATATTCCACCAGAAGTTTCTTGTTCTCGACTAGATATAGCCTCTCCTCTGGATCTGCAAATGGAATCGAATTTATTTATCTGAGAACACAAAATGCCAGCTCACAATATTTCATTTTTCCTCAGTGAATGCAAATCAACATCATTATCAGCAGCAGGACTGATAATTCTTGCTCTTTTCATCATTAAAATATTCAATGCATTCTAGAACTTAAAATTACAATCCATCATTGAATAATCGCCATCCTTATGGATATTAAACCAAATCTAAGCCACTCCAACCAATTTAGATTGTTATCCAGTAAACAATTTTCATATAATTGGATATTCTTGCAACTCACCTCATTACAGCAGAGTAAAAAAAACGTGAAAACGAGCAGCAGGGAAGGTGAAGCAAACGTCATTATCAGTCAACCAAAGTCCTGGTGAGGAAATACACGCTCATGGGAACACCACCCTAATTATTTTATTCAACTAATTGACAAGTAGTAATACTCAGCATCTAATTTTGCATCATGACATTCAACTAGAGGGTCGTATTAATATATTCATCATTTTTCATTGGTACCGTAGACAACACGCCTACGAGGCTTGAATTATCAAAATATGTACTTGTAAATCAAACCTGTAAAATGAATATAATTTATAGGTAAGGAACATTTTTCAAGTTTAAAATACCTGCCACAGTTATCTGTCCAAATGCTTGATAGGACGATGGCACATTTCCACGTCCCTGTTGATTGCTGCCGAGAAGAATAAACGGGAATTAATAAATTAATAGAGTAAGGTAGATTTTCCTAGTGAAAATATACTTCCAGTTTCAGTAGGTGCAAATCAACATCATTATCAGCAGCAGGACTGATAATTCTTGCTAGTTTCATCATTTCAAGAAGCAGTGACGTAGAAATAACATTATGACTACTATTTCATGCACCGTTTTAGATAACTATATTAGGCTGCGCAAAATACACACCGGTGCTGCGACGTCGAGTACATTCTTGGGGTTGCCAGTTGTCGAAACGACTGGACCACGTGAGGTTTTAAAATTACGCCTGAGGAAATAAGAAAAATTCTTCAAGCTTTTGGTAGATCGTGCGCTACGCAATGTTAAGTGACGATTGATCAGTCGAAATTTCATCAAAGACATCAGTCCCGAAAGATAAATACATCATTTGATTGCTATGGTACTAGAATAAAGCTAATTAACGACCAACGCAACGACTGAGTTCCACGCATCAAGCCATTTGCAGCTCTCTCGTAACCTTCAACTCTATTTTAAATTGAAGAAAAACTTAGTTTTCACCTTCTATTACAATTCTGACACCATTCATGATCATGAGTCATTTAAACAACAGTTGCTACATGAACTATTTCGCAAGGATCACTTAACTCGTGAAAAAAAAAAACTAAAATTACCTTCAAGCGAGCCGAGTTAACATCAAGCCGCTACGCTCAGTGACCACCCTGAAAACAGAACACTATTCAAGTAGATCAGATTATATTACTATAAAACTTTACGAGATGAAATATGATCAGGCAAATTGAAAGTTGGCATCAGAGAGTCAGATGAACTATGCGAAACATCATTCACAATCTACTTTTATAGTGAGATTTCTGCACAAAGCAAAGCTATTTCTCACCAACAGTGGCGGCAGCGTGATCTGGACATCAGTTCAGTCTCTTAAAAGGTACTGCAACAAAAAAAAAACACGTTTGTTATTTTAATATAACCCATTTGTCTCCAAACCAACTTCAACGATATACAAAATTTAACCGAGGCAGGAAATAATTAACCGTTGTACTTAACAAAAAAATTTAATTCAAGGTAATGCCTACCAGCTGGGTGCAATAACAAAAACCGAACTTGCAGGGGCTATCAGATTGAAACTAAAAAGTATTTACGTTAACGTGTGAACGATAATGTTGCAGCCGACAGGTATCTCGACCCGTTATACGGACGAGAAGTTGTATGACAGCGTTCAATCTGCCCGCAGTGAGAACTCAAGCGCAAGACACTCCAGTTCTTACCCATGGACATTGCTGTTCGTCACCAATTATTTGCCGCTTACATACAATTGTAGCAAATAGCCGCCAAAGAACTAAAAGGATACATCATGAAACGCTTGAATACTCCACAACTTGACATTCATGTGTCACATCTCGCTTACGGAAATTACTCGAATGAAAAAAAGTATCAAAACTAATGTCGTAAGACTTGTAACTTGTACGACAAACTTCTAATTACCTGATAGTAATGGCCACTGGACAATGCATCTCGTGGCGAATAACTGCTTGCGAAAAAGTATGTTCTGCCGAGACGATGAGTCTGGAAGCGGAAAAATTCGATGAGAAACATTACCACGACCAACAATCGTCAACAGTACTACGTACATCAGTATCCTTTTGTTGTTTGAACCCTCAGAAAGTTATCAGGAATAAATTTACATCATGAATATAGGTTATAGAAATAACGATGTGGCGTCAACAGACACAAGCTCAACAGATCAGAGTAATTTAACTCACGTTTCATTCGTAGATTTAACGGCAAAGGAAACTGCTATTGCTTCCATCCCTCCTTTTGTTAGACCTGCGTGATAGAGTGTTTAAGTTGACAAGTCATCAGTAACAGCACGAGAATATGCACCATTTTCCTCAGCATCTATCAAATCATCCTTGAAGTACTCAGTTGACGCGCATGATATTTATCATCATAGGAATCTAACATTAGTCAGATAATGGATATTATTCCAAATTAAACCGAGCACTCACAGTTCGAATAGTCGCATTACTCCTCCGGCAGAACAAACACCTGGCTTCGAACCTTCAAGTCGAAGACGAGGGAAGCTGCAACAAAACCTGTGAAAAAAATTCACGTTACGACTATACTACTAGTGTCGCAATTAATAAAAATATTGTGGAATCAGAATTTGAACACAAGAGTCTTCTACATAGATTTTCAGTCGGGGAAAGTTTTCATCATTATTCTGCCGAAGTCCGAACATTAAATTTTGGAAGTTACTGCCGAAACTCACATTGAAATTTGAGCAGGTGCAAGCGTTCAGCTTCAGAGATCCTCGTGTTCTGCAGAAAAAATCGATGTTAGGCACGAACGCAAAAGTCGAGTAAAATTTCATGTAAGAGCTTGATCAGTCTTCATTTAAATCAGAGATTTCATTAACACGGGCCAAGAGAACTTGGCCAGGCATCATGCTAGTATGAAATGGCTTCACTAATACGAAAATGAACTAAATAGCTCGACTAATATGAGCAACTTAAGACTCACAAGCACGGTGATGTCCTATTGGTGAGTAGCATTCTTTTACCTGGAATATAAATGCATAGTGAAAACAAACTTAAATAGCAAGATCTGAGACTTTTGAAAGGATGAAAGGTCAGCGAGAAAAACAGCATGGAAAATCAGTGTTGCTAGTACCGTATTATCTCATCATTTTAAATAGAGATCCTACAGTTTACAAGGCACCAATGTGCTATCTAAACATCTGATATATTTTCATGCTAGTAACAATGTTTCTGAAATGAAGGATTAAAGTTTTATATTCTGAGCAGCACATTGATGCACAATTATCCGTATTTACTTTCAAGTAAAAGTGATCGTCGCTTCAACTCACTCGCAACTGTGGTTAGTGGTTGCAATCCACACCAAGGAGAGGAACCTGGAAATTTTTAAATCCATTACATTTTCGAAAACTTTCCAAGGTCAAATCTGCTTAGAAACCGAGTTTTCAGCTACAAAATAATATCAGAGATTTCATAAACACGGGCCAAGAGAACTTGGCCGGTCATCATTACAGTGCCCTGAAAATGATTGTGTGCAGTACTGACTTTCAAGTATTTTTGTTAGTTTTTGGCTCACGTTCAACAGAGCAACAAGGGAAATATTAACGTCATAGTATCGTCAAGCAGTGTGGAATTCTAGCATAGAGTTAACCAGTGCACATAGCATATTGGATAGGCCATCACAAAACCAATCATAGTCTGGAGTGGTTGACATACCACTAAGCAATCGCAGCTGGAAAGCTGTATGTATTAGCCACAAATTCAAAATTTACGAACTTCATTCACTACCATAGAATTCCAGCGCGTGGAGACAAGTATTTTATGCAAGACCCAATACTATGTTCAACTTTTTTCAGCTCTGTGTGAATCTAATCAACATTTTTGTTTCTACAAAGAATACATAAAATCACATCGGTACTAAAAAATCGTTCCATTACTTTCACAAATGTTCTTTCTTTTTCAAATTAATATCTCAATTTTGCCGTTAGTTCCTGAATAAACTAACGCAAAGTTCTGTAAGACACGTTCTAAAAGAACGTATTTAAATTGAAATCAACTGGATAATATTACAGACCAATGCAGGCAGGATAATTCATAACGTACAGGTTTTCCACCTTTTCACAAACGTGAGAGTATTTCATTAAATGATTGCTATTCGAATTTCAAAAGTCATCTTGCAAGTGCTGATCGGATCAACAGCACGAGTTAATAACTTCATTTATCAATTCTTCAGAAGCCAAGATACCTCAAGAACACTTCCAGCAGTTTAATATTTACACTACTATCATTGAAGTGATATAGCATCAACCCAGAGCTAAACTTTTAAAGAGAAAAAAAAAATTAATATCTTACATTGCGCAGAATCAACGCATCCAGCCCCAGCGCATTAACAGTTGAGCAATCAAGACCGCATCATTGTTGACAACACTGCCATCAGAAAATATAATTACCATTTACACAACATCATAGCCAAGACAGAATATATCAACAACATTCAGATCTTGATGGTAGTATTGAAGTGTCTTCAACATATTTCAGCAAGTAAGGATCATCACGCATGATAATATATCTTATTTCTACACAAGGCATAAGCATATAAACTCACTTGAACTCTAAGCATTGAGCACACCCAATTGTCCATTCCATGTGAGCAGAACGAGACCTTCCAGGAAGAAAGAACAAGGTTTTAGAAAAGTTAAAATGCAGGATGTATGTACAAGACAAAAAGGAAGAGTTCAGCTCTCATAATCTTGAGGCACATTGGCTCACTTCTCTTAAGTTCCAGCCCCACCACCACAAGAGAATAGTCTGAATTGAGTTATGGCCACAACCACCTCACTCATCCAACTTAACTAAGCCAGACAGGGGATCTTCCAGCCAAACTTATTGCTTTGACCTCCAGTTGGTTGTTGGGAATCAACAACCAGCCATCAAAGGCATTAACAACAAGCAGGGCACGTTAATTTTCTGGTGTCCCCCCACTCCCTTCAGAGAAATGGGCCCTGCTAGAGCCTTTACTGTCTTGTCTCTCAGACCTTCCCAGGGACCACAGCCCCTCATGGGTGAGCTTCTTATGGCAGGTGAAGCAGGAACTATGATAGAGACCAGCCTTCACCAAGCAGTTTGTCATCACAACTTTGATATTTAATCTATTACTGCTCATTAGTGTCATGCTGTTACTTTGCACACACACACACATCAAATTATCAAATTTTACTTACTTCAAATTTGATAATCTCCCTGCTCTCTACATCCATCATATCATCCATAACCTGCAAAATATACAATATCATTAACAAAAAATTCAATAAACAAATGGAATTCAACATTTATATGGTTTGGTCAGCAACAAGGAAGGGTCTACAAGACTGTTCAGGATTCCCACTATGTTTTCATCATAGTAAAGGATGACACAGCAAGGGCCAAATAACATCCAGGAATATTCAAGCTTTTACAGATACACTAGGATAGGTTAAAATTAGATATCCATCATGGACTAATTGTGCACTGAATAATCTGATATCCTATACCAAAAACCGTCGTAATATTATTCTAGTCAATCACCTGCAAGCATCATGTGACATGTGTCGATATATAAACGCAGCATTTCATATCTATTTTGTTATTAAATTTTGCATTATGATTAGTAATTCATTTTGAAAACTGTACATTGAGCAAAAACACTGCACAATTGCATTCAAAATTCAATAAATAAAGATATGAACAACCTTCAAGTTCAAGATTTTCAAACGAATTGAAAATGTCCAATCAAGTGAGTTGTGACAGCAGACTGGCACAAATAATAGTTAGACAGTTAGGTACATTAGCTACAACTTCATTAGCAGGGTTGAATCCAAGCCTCCAAGCTGCAAGAGATGCTGGCAAAGAATTTCATATCTGTTAGCTATACTTATCCTGCCATCCTGGACTGATTTAGCTTATTTACTTCAGCCAGAAATTCGAGACTTCAACACTAGACAAGTAATTATGAATTTACAATTATTAGTAATGAAACACTACTTGCCTCTTTAAATTCCACCCTAGGTCCCTAGCTACATCATCTAGATAGACCTACTTTAATTCTTAATTTGGGTTCCAAAAAATTAGCAGAGGATAAAGTGCAACAATTGATAACCTAGTCACAATTCACAGGAACAAAGTCAAGACTTTTAGACAAATTACCTTGGGTAATATAGATATTTGACACCTCTATCAAATCTGCTCCCACATCTAAAACTTGTTGCATCAAAGCAGAAAAATTGAACCAAGTGTCCATCTTTGAGCATCAAGCAATCTAGATTCATGACAATAAGTATAACAATAGGTAGCTTAGCAATTATCAGCATATCGGGCAGCCCAGGCACAAGAACCGTCCATAGTCCATACCAATCAGTAACTATGTTTTTTTACAGTTTCTAGCAACAAGCAAGCAATGAGGTTAAGTGCAGTAGGCCAACTTCAAAGTGGCAACCTACAGGTCATTTCGGGCAGCATTTTTGGAATGTCTATCACAGTCTATGAATTTTACATCAGATGAAACAATAGACCAAGAAATTTTGCAGAAAGTTTAGGTTGGAAGGGTTGTCAACTTGTCTTAATTTCCATTCAAATAGTCACTCAAAATAGGTCTAGGTAGTCTACCTATTTATTCAGAATAGGCTACATTCCATTTTTTATAATTTTTTCAACACTTTAAAATAGCTACGCGGTGGCAAATTACACTGATCTTTTAGTAACCGTTCATTTTTGATTTCATTTACCTAGCTACTACCTACCTAAATATAATTCAATCAATTTTGGACATAGGCTACCTAATAATTTCTGACACGGCTATTGCATTGGCTATTCCAAATACTTTTGTAGCTACTTACTAGTGACTAGGCTAGGTTCTTTATTTACAAGACAAAAAACTGAGCTTAAAGAGGGGGCAACAAAGAAATGTTCTCCTTTTGCCACTATGCTTCAAATTTATGCAAAGTTGCAATTATTTCAAAGTTCAAACCTTAAGTGAAAGTAAGGCTAGCCTAATCCACTGCGTGACTGTGACAGCGACTGCAGGCGCAGCTATCAAGTAGAAAGAACAAGCAGCACAGCGATTCGAAGACTATTTCAAACAAGACATCCTAATTAGTACCAGTTCACATCAATTACATTAATTGGTTCAACTTAGTCGCAAGATCTATGCTTGATTAATCCACAATATCCAAGCCAGAACTTGACAGTCAGCTATGCCCCACACTCATCTCGTTAGCAAATATGTTAAGAGTTGATATATTACTGCAATTAAACGGAGAGCATTGACCCAAGTTGACAATGTCTAAAGTATTTATACATAATACAGCACAGTCAGCACTACTAACAAGAAAAGCGGACAGTTAGCCTGAGTTAGGAGGTAAATGATGATTTTGTACTTACCAGTAACCTTCTAAAGTCAGCGTCAAGCGGAAAATGAATGCCGCTCCCAGACCGCGCTAGAGCGTGGAAGTTTAAGCTTGGCCAATGGTTCTTACGAAATAAATTGGTGATGAAAACCTCAAATAACGTTAGTATCAAATTATTTAATTAATGTTAGGAATTACCTATTATAAGAGGTGAAAAAGGATTTTCAAATTATTTCTAAAATTTGTTTGAAATATCTTCATTCGGATAACCGTAAATTAGCGTTTCTATTTCTATATTTCTCTGCATTTTGGATGACCTTAATTTTTACGAAACACCCTGCCTAGCTTATCTCAAAATCAGAATCAACCCTCTACCATCTGAATGTGTCAAACATTTCCTCGACTGATCTTCCCGGAGATTTTAGTGTTCTCTTATATTCAGCTTACACCTAACCGTGCTTTACTCAATCGACAATTTTACGGACCCGCCTGCGGACTCGCGCAACTGGGCCGCTCATAATTCCTTCAATACTTAACGGATCTGCATGAATTTTGGAACATGAGTATTAATTATCGATACGCTGCCGCAGGAATTATTACAGAGTTTTACATGAATTATTTTTTAAGTAAAACCAATAAACGTATTTTTTAAGCAACTGGGCCGCTCATAATTCCTTCAATACTTAACGGATCTGCATGAATTTTGGAATGTGAGTATTAATTATCGATACGCTGCCGCAGGAATTATTACAGATTTTTACATGACTTATTATTAGGTTATGTTAGGTTATGTTAGGAAATAATTCATGCAAAAATCTGTAATAATTCCTGCGGCATCGTATCGATAATTAATACTCACATTCCAAAATTCATACAGCTCCGTTAAGTATTGAAGGAATTATGAGTGGCCCAGTTGCTTAAAAAATACGTTTATTGGTTTTAATTAAAAAATAATTCATGTAAAAATCTGTAATAATTCCTGCGGCAGCGTATCGATAATTAATATTGACATTCCAAAATTCACACAGATCCGTTAAGTATTGAAGGAATTATGAGCGGTCCAGTTGCTTAAAAAATACGTTTATTAGTTTTAATTAAAAAATAATTCATGTAAAAATCTGTACTAATTCCTGCTGCAGCCAATCGATAATTAATACTCATATTCCAAAATTCATACAGAATCGTTATGTATTTAAGGAATTATGAGGGCACAGTTGCTTAAAAAATACATTTATTGGTTTTAATTAAAAAATAATTCATGTAAAAATCTGTAATAATTCCAGCGGCAGCGTATCGATAATTAATACTCATATTCCAAAATTCATACCGATCCGTTTAGTATTTAAGGAATTATGAGTGGCCCAGTTGCGCGAGTCCGCAGGCGAGTCCGTAGAATTGTCGATCGAGTCCGTGCTTTCATGGTTATTTTAGGAAAATGTATTCTATTCACAACATATTTCTGGGTTAACCCATAATTAGATTATTCAAAACAAATAATCACTACGCTTCTACTGGAACTTGCGTAGCGAAGATGGTGACACAATAAATAATGCTATTCATCAAGCAGTTTGACCGAGAACTATTTGAAGATAATGTGAGCTCTTAGCATGAAAAAAAAATTTAACTCAGGACACAACTGCAAACGATTTATATATTTTTCCAAAATCGTGGTTTCCGGAGTTGCGTTTACTATTTGTGAAATACGAGTGCCTTCCAGGTGATGAGCAGGGCTATGAATGAGTTTTAGTTTGTTATTATGTGCTACATCAAAATATATACTACCTCACAAAAAATAACCTGTAAACTATTGGCCGTAGTATCCACTGATATGATAACCTGTAAACTATTGGCCGTAGTATCCACTCGCCACATACATGGTCCCAGCGGCACATCCTTAAATTAAAACAACTAACTTACTCAATTCCTTGGTTTTAGCGCATCAAGTACAATCGATTGCTAATTCTATTGCACATTAGCGGCCAATATTTAGTATTGGCGGTGTGTTAAATGAGCGTTTCAGCTATGAGTACTACGAGGGTAACTGAACGCGACTTCCAAGTAGGATGCGATGCCAAAAAAAATTGTTGGTGACGCCGCAGCTGAGAGGCCTATGTAGCAAAGATGTGATGAAGAAATGGATTGTTTATTCTTATTTTTCATAACAATTCAAATTGCACCTCACGACCAATGAGAAACTTAGGGCTATTCCGGCGCGACTGATGGAGCAGAAGAAGTATGAATACGATTAAAATAACTGCCATTGCAAAATGTATCTAATTTCATCCTGCTGTAATTATTGCCCACGACAGTTAATAATTTATACGACAATCATCCAATTAGCTCGGAACATTGTTAAAACCTTGGCCGTTTGTGCATTGCTGAGTAGGTGCGAATAAAATTAATGTTAGCGTTTATATTGAACAACAAAAAATCTGATACTTACTGAACATGATTAGATTATAATGAAATATTTGTGGACAATTTCCAGTTGCCGGTTCGTGGTTTCATTATCTGAGTAACTAGTGGAGGCGACTTGTTATGCAGGTGGCGCGCTGATAACATGAGGGAATCTTTTATTTACACGAATGACAAGAAAATGGATGATTATTAACAATTTGACAGTAACAACTTCATTTGACAGTGTTCCACATGAGCGTCTGTTGAATAAATTAAAGTCTTGACTTGAAAGTAATTTACTCAAATGGATCAGAGATTTTCTACCAGGGAGGCGACAACGTGTCAGTATTAATGGGACCGTATCAGACTGGGTTTCAGTGCACAGCAGCGGGCCACAAGGATGCGTTCGCGGTCCTGTTTTATTCGTTGCGTTTATAAACGATATGCCAGAAGCTGTGTCTAGCGGGTGCTCTATGTATGCCGACGACACAAAAGTTTATAATGCAGTGAAGAATACGTCCCAAAAATTACAGTTGCAAAGTGATCGTGACATGTTAGTTGACTGGGCTGATAAGTGGCAGCTGCGTTTTAATGTTGACACATGTAAAGTAATCCACCTTGGCAAGAACAATGAACAGCATGATTACAGTATGAGAAGACATGCTTGCAACGACTGAGTGATGATGTCGAAGTCGACAACGGAGAAAGATTCAAGAGTTGATGTCGACAAGGAGCTGAAATATTCTAAGCACATTGAAGCTCAAGTTAATAAAGCCAATAAACGGCTTGGACTATCAGACGCTCTTACGAGTACCTAGATTCAGAAGCGATAAATCTGTTGTTTATCACTGTCGTGCGTCCGGACCCAGAGTTTGGAAATGCCGTGTGGTCACCAAAACTAAAAAGGATAAAAATTTAGTCGAGAGTGTTCAAAGACGCTCAACAAGGATAATTCCGGGATTAAAAGGCAAGAAGAAAGATTAAAGATTAGGAAAGAGAGATTAAAGATTAGGAGCTTCTGAGCCCCTGTTATCGACGTCTGCGTGGTGACCTCATTGAAGTATACATGTATACCGACGGTTTATACAAGGTCCAAGAAGGAGTCCTAGAATTTGAAACAAGAACCAACACCTGGGGCCACTGCTATTAACTAAAAAACTGCGTCCGTGCAACAACATTTCTTCTCGCTTCGACTAACACTTTACGGACCAGTAATAAGTCCAGCAGCTATCTCAAACAATCGTCAGTTATGGAAAGATCGGGTTTAGAAGGCCGTATCCCTTGTGGCATCAAGTCTCGAAAAGTACAATAATCGGCAACAGGCCATGGGCCTATTTCTTCAGTGCCGACAATTCTATTTTATTCTAATTAGGCATGAAGATTACAAATAAAATATAATTTTTGCTTTTAAAAACACGGTCCATTTGAAATTTTCACTGTTTTTCGGACATAACTTACCATTTATGTAATTGTGAGACTTCATTAAGGCATGAAATACACATTCAAATAGATTTGAGCAGGGTGGCTCAGTGGTTAAAGTTTAGAGTACCAAGATTGGAGCAGAGAGGTGCGGGTTCAATCCCAGCTCTGTGCGGCAGTTTCTGGTCTGAATCGGCATGGCGGTTAAGCAAAGGAAATTTTAAGCAGTGAGTTGCGAGTTCGAGCCCGAAAAAACCTGTAAATGTTCTGCAATGTTAAGAATCGGCGACAGGCCTACGGCCTAATAAACGCTGAAACCGCTCTATATATGAATGATTGAGGATTGACACGATCATAAATAAACTTCAAATTATTTAAAATACTATTAATTCGGGCCGTGTGGCCCAGTGGTTACAGTTCAGAGTACCATGAATGGAGCAGAGAGGTGCGGGTTCGATCCCAGCTCTGTGCGCCTGCTGGTCAAAATAGGCGAGTTGGCCGGGCGGTTAAGGTGCTTGTAAACGGGGATAGTGCAGACGGCTAGGAAATCTGGCAAGTGACGGTCGCTTGGTGACTATCCGGCTAGTAAGCCTGTACGCGAGGAGAGTGTCAACATGTTGGTTGTTAGTCCAGAGGTGGTCAGTAGCGCGCTTCATGTAGCGGCCGCTACATGTTCAGTAGCGGTAGCGGTGCTACATTTAAGCAATTGTAGCGGTAGCGGTAGCGCCCGCTACATTTAGAGCATGTAGCGGTAGCATTTCAAAGTAGCGCTGCCCAGCTCTGCTTGCTTGCTACTAGCATGGCTAGTAGCGTGGACAGTTCATGCGGCGGATGAGCTAGCGGCTAGTACTATTCCTTTGTACAGGCACCTATAAGCACAGTAGAATTGTAGCAGTGAATTGCGAGTTCGAGACCTCAAAATGCTCTGAATGTTCTGCGATGTTTAGGATCGGCTACTAAACGCTAAAACCGCTATTATTATTATTATTTGAATACATTGACGTCAACAAAATAGTACATTTATCCCAGAATTTGCGTGATTATAGTAAATCTCAGGCTACTCTGCGCAATAATTGAATTTTTTTCAAATACATGAATTTCAATTAGACTTAATTTCGTTTAACATTTATAATTTATTAATAAATAGTTTATAATATGACCATTATAATTTTTGGACGAAAAATTAAATTCTGCCAACTCCAGCTAGATGTGATGTGTTGTCACTCCAACTTGCGGAAGGTTTGTTTATTTACGGAAGTGACTGAATATTTTCACTCAAATTTTGTTTTGGTGACACCGTGACGGGTCGCAGTGGTAGAAGAGCTCTTTTTGCCTTTTTGAATTGTCTGATATCCTTATATTTATATATTGTCACTTGTTTTCTGTCATAGGTATGGACAGCAAATACTCTGTTTTATTGCCAACATATAATGAAAGAGAAAATTTGCCAATAATTATCTGGCTCTTATGTAAATACTTCGATGCTAGGTAAGTCAGCATTCAGCTGATTTCAGCAAGTACCTTCCAGTTCCACTTGATTCTCAGAGAATCCTGAGATTGAGTCTTGAGAAGCAGAATCTAGCATATGATCCACTGATCTATGCTTGCTTTATCAGTGCATCATATGCTATTGCTACAGACAGTAAATATGGGAGTTTGATAGTATCTATACTGTACACTGAATTTCTTTTTAAATGTAAATCTATAACTGTGTACCTATTAAATAGTCCATTCTTGAACCATTGAACATTCATTAAATTATTTTTACATCCTATCAGTCACTGCCAAACTGTAAAATTTGGCAAAACATCCTGTAAATGAGACTTAGGGTACCTAAACGCGGTATATTCCGACATTGTAGGTAATTTCGTCACCTCTCCAGCTTTTCCTTTATATTAAGCTTTGTTTTAGTTCCATGCATACTAGTCTGGAAAAGTCCTATTTTTGTCTGAAATATCGCGGCTCTAATATCATATAATTTCAGTAGGTATGAAATCTCGTGGCTCGAATGTCATAAATTTTTGTTTGATTAAAAAATCGCGGTTTGCACTTCGCAAACATGTCATTTCATAAAATTTTCAACTTCCGCAATCCGCATTGCTTTACCGCTGTCTCTTATACACATCTAGATGTGTATAAGAGACAGTCCCAATACAGCTCACACAGCAAACGGAATTCGAACACGTGGATGTCGGCAATACGTATCAGTTAAATTTGAAGCGCTGACGCAATACGACTCACCACGTGTCGGATGTTGCCACACAAAGTGACGGAATATAGGGATTTGGTAGGTTTCCATTCTAAAGGCTTTTTAATAAATATGGCAACATTTTGTGATGTTTCATCTTTGCTGACGCGTAGTGAAGTGTTTTGAGTCATGTGAAGGCAACAGAACTTATGTAACGCATACGGTTTTTTTTATAGTTTTTCATTTCTCGATGCGTCCTTAATGTGTCGGAATATACCGCGTTTACCCTAGCAAAAAATGAAGGGTTATAACAAAATCACCGTATGTGCAACTCAAGTTCTGTTTGCTTTACATCAATCTCAAAACACCACACTATGCACCAGCAAGTCAGCAACAATGAAATGTCACAAAATGTTGCCATATTTATTTAAAAGCCTTAAGAATGCAAACCTACCAAATCCATATATTCCGATGCTGTGTGTGAGTGTGACTAAATTTGGCATTTTGTGAGACTAATTCCGGCCGCTCTTCAAACTCTACTAATTCGTAATTTTGACACTTTTGTGTTCGAATTCCAATCGCTGTGTGAGCTGTATTGGAATACAACACAGCTTGGAATTAGAACACTACTGAATATTGAACACTACTTAATTAGGCTTTTAATTAAGAGCTATTAAGCTTTTAATTAAGAAAATTTTAATTTTTCTTAAGTAGAATTATCTAATTCCAGATGTATTGGAATTAGTTTTATGTGGTCTAAAACCGTCTCTTAAATTAATCATCTTTTAATTTATTTACCACTTGAAATCAGCAAATACAAGTACCTATACTTAAAGGATTCCTAATATATTCACAGACTTATTTAAAAGTCTCAAACTATAATATTGTTTCTACACAAACAGTTTATCACTATTTGGTAGAGCAAGGTCAACCATCAACTTTGACACGTTTTTCGATGTTCTCACTGGGTGACACGCACTGCCTCTCTTTGGATCTCAACATTTTCCCACCAGATGGCCCAGACCTAGTGTTTTGGCAATAGTATGGTGCGCAATAGCATGATGTCACTACTTCAACCATCAACAAATGTGTGGAACTAAGACAAAGCTTAATATAAAGGATAATTTAAGAAGTGTCAGAATTACCCACGATGTCGGAATATACCGTGTTTACCCTAGTTTGCGGTTTAAGCAAATTAGCAAACTAGTGATATAAATTTTACAAGTTACTACTGGCTGCCTATGCTAATTTCTGTAATAAAAGAAAAGTAAATGATATAGGTATTTAAAAAAAATTTGCCTTAATTTTACCTTGTCTTATGCAATAAAGACATTAATAGTACCTACTAGTCATGAAAAAACTTGTCAATATTTGAGATTTGATTATCTGCAATATAATTCAAAATATTTTATTATTTGATTTTGAATCTTCTGAATCATTTGTACAAGTAGCTAGTAATAAATTTTGGTTGAAATTGGAATTTAATAATTTTCAAAAATTTAATAGAAGAATTTCCAAAAATATATATAGGTAAATTTCATTCTTATTGCAGAGGTTATTTTTCAAAATTTGGTTTACAAATATATTTTTCCCTGATTTTCAACAAAAAAATTAGGATTTAGGCAAGAATATTAGTCAATAATGAAATTCTGATGTGTTGCCAATGCTCCTCACCTTCAGATATATATTTGCTGACTTTGTGCAACTTGCTGTCAGCCATCAACTTATAGGACTTCAAAAAGGAACATTGATAATAAATTCCCTCATTTGCTTCTTTGGTGGTGAATTACTTGTGTGCCATTGATTCTAGACTTTCTACGTAGTCTGTATCAATCATTTACCATGGGCAACATTGATTGTGAATTGGCAATTCTCCTTTTATGGAGGGAATTGAAATTTTCAGTTGATGTCATTGTAGATTTTGCTAACAATAAAAATGTTCTTGTTAATTTTTAATTGACTTATTCATTCATGAACAAAGAATGTCTTGGGTACTGATTTAGTATTGCCTAAAAGGTATATATGCTACTTTTTTATTTTTTATTTTTTCAGCAAAGAAAAATATGAGATCATCATCATAGATGATGGGTCTCCTGATGGGACTTTGGATGTGGCACAGCAGCTTCAAGACATTTATGGCAAAGACAAAATTGTGAGTTAACCATCCTATTTATATAAGATTTGTGTAGAGCTAAGTATTTTTGTTAACTTTCTTTAATCTGTTAGGCAATGCTATCATGCTATGTATGTTCAAATGATAAACTTTTAGCTGCAATTTAACTCTAAAATTTTGTCAATCTCAATTGTCTTCCCACTATTGCATAAAATTGTAACCCAGCTTGTTTTTTAGTTATTAATTCTATTTCTTAAAATGGGATCAGTACTCATTTTGAGTATATATGCATCAATCAGCATCATCAACATTCAATTGTCATTTGTACAAGGCTTGTCTAAAAAGTTTCCGGCCATAGGCCAGAAAAAATATTTGATATACCTGATGTGGTTTGAACCTCTTCCCTTGTGCTTGCACACACTGAGCCCACAGATCCTTCCACTGATGGAAACACCTCTGAAAGTCTTCTTTTGGAATGGTGGAATCTTTTTTCTGCTCTCAAAATAAGATCCTTTAAATTACTTATTCAAGTTGCATGTAGCCATGTCTAACCTAACCTAACCTAACCTTGATGAACGACTGGAATTCCATGTTTGGCCAAGAAATGTTGGATCATATGGGTGGAGGTGGAGGAGTGTGTGTAGTGGAGTGGCAACTGCATCATGACTGCGCCTGCACACTCGTCCCATTTGATCCAACATTTCTTGGCCAAACATGGAATTTCAGTCATTCAACAACCTCCCTACTCTCCAGACATACCTCTTGCAACTTGAAGATGCTATTGAAAGCATCTTGTTTCGAGAGCAGAGAAAATATAATGCCGAATGTGATGGCAGAGATGAACACCATTCCAAAAGAATTCCAGAGGTGTTTCTGGCAGTGGAAGGATCTATGTGCTAAGTGTGTGCAAGCACAAGGAGCCTACTTTGAAGGGGATTAAGGTTCAAACCCCAACAGGTATGGTAGGTATGCAATATTCTTTCTGGCCTATGGTTGGATACTTTCAAGACAGGCCTCGTAGGTTGTTATAGAAATTAATAGGTCTTATTCTTGGACTACTATCAAATTATTTTGCTTGAACTCAATTTTTCTAGAGCTGAGCAAGTTGAGTGTATATACTGGTATGGTACCTACATTGGGGGGAAATAAATATTCGTACACTTGAAAAATCGTATTTTAATGTATGTAAGTACACAAACTTAACAGGAAAAGTGATTTAAATTATGTATAGAGACGCATAGTATTCAAAAATACTATCAAAAGAAATTAAATCTCAATGCAACAAAAAACATGTTCACTTTTCGGGGTGAAAAAAGTATTCGTACAAAACAATAAATCCGCATTATTTTATTTTAATACTTGGTTGAATACCCTTTATTCAGCTCAACAGACACCAGTCTATTTCTATACGTCTCGACCAATGATTTGTTTGAATACTATGCGTCTCTATACATAATTTAAATCACTTTTCCTGTTAAGTTTGTGTACTTACATACATTAAAATACGATTTTTCAAGTGTACGAATATTTATTTCCCCCCACTGTATATATAATTTTTTTAATATATGAAGGACAATTATTTTATTTAATCATTGTGCTTGTCTATTATCTGGCAATAGTTTTCATTTATTCTAATAATAAATAATGCAAAAATTTTCAGGTTCTGCGGCCACGTGCCAAGAAGCTTGGTTTAGGCACAGCTTACATCCATGGCATCAAGCATGCAACTGGCAACTTTGTGATCATCATGGATGCTGATTTGTCTCATCACGTAAGAAAATTTCCCAGCTGTTGAGTTGAATATTTTAACTTTTAAAAGCTGATTTGGCCAATTTGTTCAGCTTTATTTTCAGCTATTATTTTATCTCTGTTTATGTGAATTTGTATGCAAAATGCACAGCTTTATAGTTTCATGGCATGTAATATCTCTTTGTTTTATTTTTGCTGACTTGTTAAGTGAAATGTGCAGTGTTTTTGTTGCATGGGTTGTGATGTCTATATTTTCACCCACTTGGTATACCGTACCACAAGTGAAGTATTTTATTTTTATGAGTTGTAATACGGATCTATGTTCTCACAGATTTTATATACAAAAAAATGAAGTATTTTATTTTTTTGAGTTGTAATACGGATCTATGTTCTCACAGATTTGATATACCAAAAGTGAAGTATTCTATTTCCATGGGCTGTAATATCTATGTTTTTTCACCAGCCTAAATTCATCCCTCGCATGATAGAGGAGCAGCGCAAGCACAACTACGATGTGGTGTCAGGCACCCGTTATGCCGGCACTGGAGGCGTCTACGGCTGGGACCTGAAGAGGAAAATAATCAGCAGAGGGGCTAACTACATCACACAGATACTGCTCAGGCCTGGGGCTTCAGATCTCACTGGATCTTTCAGGTTAATTTAAATTCTCTTTGAAAGAAAGCTTGCAATTTATTCCGAAATTTCGTGAACAGGAGATAAAATGGGGCATTGTATATTCCTTTGTGCAAAGTTGTGCAAAGGAGATTTATAGCCAGATTAAGTTGGGTCTTGTGTTAACTCCTTGGAAAAAGGACGATTTATTAACAGATTATAATGTCTTGTTTCTTTTTTGGAGAAAAAGATTTAAAACATTGCTTATACGTATCTCATTTATTTTATTTTTTATTTTTCCATTTTTATTTATCATTCTTATTTAGGACTTACTTTGCTCCTGGTTGATTCAATCATTACTAAATCATTGAGCAAATAATATAATGTTGATAGCGTGCAGTAGTAACTTGACAACAAGCTCACCATGAATCCTTGCATACAAATTAAACTTCCCATTACCATAGCAATATACCTACGCTATTCCAATGGAAGAATTCAACTGAAATTATGCTTAGTTAAATTCTCTAATTCTAAGTGATTATGCCATGACCCTCAGACTGAACAAGGAAGAGCTGGAGCAAAAAAATTAAAGAACAATTTTAACTGAAAGTATACAGAGACATGGCGTTTCAGAATATCCTTTGCATAAGTATTCAATTCTATACGCTGTATAATTACGTATGTCATGACCTACAGGCTGTACAGGAAAGACGTGCTGCTGCGAATTATATTTAAAAAATTAAACTGAAATCGTACAGAGACGTGTAGTTACCTATTAGAATAGAAATGTACAAGTGCTCAATTGTAATCGCTGTGCTATGATATCATGACCCTAGAAAAACTGATAGTTTTATTTTTTGTATAATTAAAAATTTTTTGCCTACATCAATACCATAATGCTGCTCAAAAAGGAGATTTTGGAACAAATTAAATCAGAAAAAAATGAACTGAAATTAAACAGAGTCGTGGCGTTGCAAGAATACTTATGCATAAGTGTACAATTCTCTAATTTTAACACGGGTGGTTAATGGCCAGAGAATTTGTCAATTTAAATTTTCAGGGTCGAACAATATTCTTCAGATTTTGATTTTGATCAACTAATGTCATCTGAGGAATATTGTTCGACCCTGAAAATTTAAATTGAAGAATTCTCTTGCCAATAACCACCCGTGTTGAAACAAGCTTATTCTGCCTTCTGATACTAAATTCTCTAATTGTACATAATGACGCTATGACCCTGCAGGCTGTACAGGAAGGAGGTGCTGGAGCACCTGGTGAGCGCGTGCGTCAGTAAAGGATACGTCTTCCAGATGGAGATGATCGTCAGGGCGCGACAGTTCAACTACACCATTGGCGAGGTAATAACGTAATATTAATTATAGCTTTACGGCGAGGTGATGACCATAATATTAATTATAGCTAGGCGGCGAGGTAATTACCGTAATATTAATTATAAGTACAGGGCGAGGTAATAACGTAATATTAATTATAGCTTTACGGCGAGGTAATGACCGTATTATTAATTAAAAGTACATGGCGAGGTAATGACCATAGGTTATATTAATTATAGGTACAGGACAAGGTAATGACCGTAATATTAATTTTAGCTACAGGGCGAGGTAATAATAATATTACCTATATGAACACGGTTAGGTAATAATGATATTACTTATGTTATATAATAATTTCGAATGTTGCGAATATTCTTCCGATCTACTGTAATGGTGTTTATGGTCTTTAATTTCGCTGTATATCCTTTGGTAAGCATGGGTGCAAAAGTAGTTATTAAGAGAACTGAAATGATGCGTTTGGTTGTAATAAAAGTTGATCGGGAATCTACTAAAATATATTAAACTTGCCGGGAATTTGGGACTTAATGAGAGTTTATCATTTTCAGTTGGTATTAATGATATGGTAGTATGTAGGATTTTAATAAATTGATGAATGCATTCGAGGAATTTACATTTATTAACCAGAGTCAAACAAGCCGGCGCTTCTCCGTATGCAGCATCCACGATGCGTGAAAAGGTTAAGTGAATAAATATGATCCATATTCTATGAATTATGTTATGCTTAACGTGTGATTAACTAGTTAAATAATTCACATGCATGTGTTTGCAGGTGCCCATCAGTTTTGTGGACCGCGTCTACGGGGAAAGCAAACTCGGCGGCAACGAAATCTTCCAGTTTGCCAAAGGCTTGCTCTACCTATTCTCTACCACCTGATCTACACATCTAAAAATCTATTACTTGTTCAACTATTCAGTTTATTCGTGCTAATAGATCTGCTCTAATTATTGTCTTATTTTCATGCCTATATGTTTTTGATATGATGTTTTACAAGACATAGTAGTTCGGGCTTCACAGGAGAGAAATGAAAATGATTTTTCAGTAAATATTTTAGGTATCATATTAGAACTTTGGGATCAATTGTTGAATTCATCTTCTGTTCAAAATTTAGGCATCAATCTTTGAATTCATGTTCTGATCAAAGTTAGGCATCAATTGTTGAATTCATCTTTTAATCAAAACTTCGGCATCAATCGTCGAATTCATCTTTTTGATCATAACTTGGGGACCAATCGTTGAATTCATCTTGTGATAAATAACTCCTTTTCATTTCGATAAAAGCATAGCTGAAATAAATACTTTCATCTCGTGTACTGAATCGATTTTATCAATACTGTTAATTTACTTTGGTCATCAAATTTATATGATGATTATTACCTATATGATAATGGTTTCGTATTATAGACTGGTGTAGAAATAAAATGGGAACGGCAATAGGCAATGGTTTATTTTACTCACTTTTCTTAGTTAGCTAAAATCGAAGGTCCAGCCATGTTCCTTGGGCTGGAATAAAATTTTGGCCAAAATTGTGCATGTCATTGACTCTAATTTAATTATTTATATAGTGATTAGTGCATTTAATTACGAAGTTATTTATAGCTCCTGCTAAGACTAAACGTTCATATTTGTAATATATATAAAAGTGGCTTAATAAATTCCGATAATTTTTCGCTCTGAATTGTTTCTTCTTCAGGTGTTTAGTGGCGAATTGCGACGTAACAAAAAAAGATGACTTCAAGAATTTCTTATTTTTCATAAATAAAAATGAGCTCAGGATTTGTTGACTGAAGAAAGTTTAGTCATCTAGAACATTTTCTCTCTTGTGGTTGTGTTACTTAGCAGTACAAATTAGTCCGTGGAATTACCCGTAAAATATGCATTTTACTTTCTTGGTTTATTGTATAGGTACCACATCTGAAATATTCTAAGGAAATTTCATCGTCAATTGTTTCAAATTTTTTACGTGGTTTTGATGTTGAACGTTTTACGAACATTTTATTTGCATACCTTCATCATAATAACATGCGCTCATAAATAGCAAGTTTCCAACATGCGATTCACTTCCCAATGATTCATGGTAAGAAAATTCTTAATATTAAACTTCCATAATAGATTTATTACCGATCAATACAAACGAAAATTGGTAAAACAAAGAAATAATGGTTCGTTATAATGGACGGTTATTTAATGAATAAAATCAAATTACAAACGAGTACCAAACGAGGAACTCTGACGATGCGACGATGTTGTCAGCCAGCAAAGTTGCCTGTGCAGGATACTAACTAGGATTGTTCATTCTACTTGTCGGCCAGAACTTGTTTATTGAATCTTCGGAAGAGAAACAAAAAGTTGATCTCACACGATTTGAAGTTGGCTGGTTTTGGTCATTCATGCTTCTCGATCCTTCCATCCGGTTCCAGAAGGTCCTGCGGTGGGGAACCTCGACGTCTTATCCTACTGTTGTGCTGGCTGGACCGATACCTGCGTTAGCCGTACCTGTGCAGGCGCTGGCCGGGCCTCTGCCGGCGCTGGCCGTCCCTGTGCAGGCGCTGGCCGTCCCTGTGCAGGCGCTGGCCGGGCCTCTGCCGGCTTTTTTTAGCCGCTTGTAACGTGCCCTCGAAGTTCGATCTGAACGAGACGCCACGACAATCTCTTCGTGGAATAATAATAATAATAATGTAAATAATTGTTCACTTGGAAGCTTCGTGTGTAGTGATATCTTATGTAAAAAATTTTTGTTTTTTTCTGCAAAGCTTGTCTTGTAAAGTCTCAGCAGCCTGATCATTTGACATTGCAAGGGAATTCCCTTCCACACAGAATTTCATATCCTAAAAAAATTAAATAATGGGTTGTTGCATTAAGCAAGGTATTGTAATCTAAAAAATTATACTAATATCAGAACTCGAAATTGTTGCAAAGGTCTATTTTCGTTCTTGATTTATTATGCCTAATATGATGATCATTGGTGATATGATGATAGAGTAAATATTAATATATTAACTGTAAACTTAATCATGTGTGGAAGCTGCCAGCGAATAAAAAAAATCAAAGTCAGCGAAACAAACTTGATTTCTATTATTCGAAGTAGAAATTTATTGAAAAAATTTATTTTTATATGACATAAAAATTTCGCAAAAATGTAGTTTCTCATCCTGCCCAACATGGATGCAAGAAACGTCTTATGAGATGATGCACCCGAGTCAGTGCAATGCTGTTGACTCGACGTTGACTATACGAGTTGGTTCGTTGAAACAACGTTTAACCAACGTTATTTCCACATCAGATGACGAGCGAGGAGAGGGCTTCTAAGATGAGAGGCACCCAAGCGGAACATGTAAGTGCTAAGCTTGGATAATATTCTTGATGAAAATATATACGTTTGGCTTTAAATTTGGTCCAAGAAAGCAGAACTGGTTTGACTACAGTGACAGCCGTGTTCAATTATTCGGCACTATAGCACTGAACGTAGTGTAACTATAACTATATAACTAAAACTACATAACTATAACGTAGTCCAATTCAACTATTCAGATAAGTGAGGCAGCGCTGTGAGCTGTGGTGAGCTGAATGTCAACTTATATGAATACTGCAGGGTGGTAGCTGAAATTCAGCGGGTGAATACTGCAGGCTGGTGGCTGAAATTCAGCGGGTGAATACTGGCAGCTGGTGGCTGAAATTCAGCGGGTGAATACTGCAGGCTGGTGGCTGAAATTCAGCGGGTGAATACTGCAGGATAGTGGCTGAAATTTAGCTGGTGAAATTCTGTATTAGGTTGGAAGATTAGGTCATATTTCATTTGTTTAAATATTCCTTTTGAATCTTTCATATGTAAAGTGATGCTGAAATTACATTTTTAATGGTTAAAGATATTTAGATATATCAGGAGACTAAAATTTGAATGGGAAATAGTAAAATGCTTTTATCTATATGAAATTAATGGTTTGAAAATAGTCTTTCACATTTGCGGCAGTTGAAAATGAAAATAATTTTTTACAATTACGGCTGCATAATAAATAAGTTAAATATTAGGAGCAAATTCCGTAGACTGACAAAACGCATTAATTACCTGAAAATCCAACCACTCGAGCCGCAATATTGTCGGTTTTCTGGAAATTGTGGCTCTTGCTAAAGACTATTTTGATATTAAAATAAAAAATGCTTCCATGAACTACACATGACGTCATTCGCTGACGTCAAACAACCACCTAACAAAGGATTTTCTCCATTGAAAATGATTACAGTTTTGTTCAGAACATAAACTTTTTATGAAGGGAAAATAAAAATTATTCCGTGATTCAGATTATCCGGTGATTCAGGTGATTGAATGATGATTGATATACGAATATATATGAGAGTATAAGTTAACGTATCCGTGATTTCGAGTTTGTGTAGAAACATGTACATGTAAATATGAACATAACATATTAATAAGAAACATTCTCTGGTTTTCAATGAAACTCGTATTGAAGAATATTTGTTGGAGGATGTATACCTGTATAAACACGAATTATGTATATGTGAAGTAACAGTTACAGAGCTATGTTATACGAATAAATACAGAAACATGATGAAAATAAATATGAGAAAAAATGTGATAATATACTTTGAAGGAAGAAGCTATTAATGAGTACATATAACAGGATGAATGAGAAGATAAACTGCAGTATAATTTGCAATTGAATGTAGTAATTTTGAAGCTGTGTGATATTTTCGGAATATTTAACCCTAATTTCGATAGGGACAACAAAGCAGGCAGGGACAACAGAGCAGGCAGAGCAGGCAGAGCAGGCAGAGCAGGCAGAGCAGGCAGATCAGGCAGAGCAGGCAGAGCAGGCAGAGCAGGCAGAGCAGGCAGAGCAGGCAGAGCA